TGTCTCTAAATGTTTTTGAGAGCAGGAAAGGGCGCTGATATCTTGGAGAACTTAACCAGAAACTGTTGCTAGTATAATATAAAACTAAGGATATTGTGTACATCTTGCTTTAGTCAGATGTTGAGGCCAATATCTTACAGTGACTGTTTTAACTAAGTCCATAGAGACTCCACCTTTCCTTACAATGTGATTGGGAAACACCACTTCTGTACACTTCTCTGGTTCAATTTTAAGCTTGTTTTATTTATCTGCTGGAATATCATATTCAGGTTCTCAAACACAAACTCGAACATCCAACCAAACACCAAAACATCATTGAAGTAGACCAGGTATCCCTCCCATTTCAGCCCCTTTAGTATATTCTTCATCAGCTTCTCCAAAGTGGCGGGAACATTAACACAAACTTGGAATTCATATAAGCCATCTCTTGTGCTAAAAGCAGTCTTCTGTCTGCTCTCAGCCCAACCTGCCGCTATGCAGATGCCAAATCCAAAGTTATAAACTCATGGAAACCTTCTAAAAGATCTAGACATTCATTTTTCAAAGGGAAACCATCAACACGAGTTACCATATTCACCCATCTAAATCCACACAAACCCTTAATATATTTTCCTTCTTCCTGATAATCATAAATGGAGATGATAAAGCACTGTAGCAGTTTTATAAGCCCATCCTTCAACATCCTCTGTATTTCAATGCTGGTAATGTTGTGTTCTAGGGGAGCCACTATGGTAGTTACTTTATCAAATATTTATCATCTGTATCTATGCTGTGGCAAATCGTCGTTGATTGACCTAATCAACCATCTGGTTCTTCAGATATATCAGTATATTCAACCAACAAGTCACTATGTTGCTTTTGCTGCAATGGGTTTAGACTGTTTACAACATACAGTTGGATAGTTGATTTCCCATAATTTCAAAACAATACTGAGGCTTCACCCCTGTTGGACTGATAAACTGTATGAGCTATTGCAGCCTTCTTTCTGGACAGGAAAGAAATAGTTTTATTTATAGCTTCTATAACCGTGTTGCATAGTACCAATGCACTAGACTCTGTCTGGATTAAACCATGGAAAATCACTCGTGTATACAGAGGTGCTGTTATTCCCTCCACTACACACACTCATGCAGTCCACAGTTCATGGACTTAATTTGGCCAACATCAGTTCATCCATTTCACAGATGGAAATAATGAATTATTTCTTCAGTGCACCCATCCTGAGGAGGTCAGTACCAGATATAAGGTTGAAGATGACTGTCTGCATTCTGTGCATGACGTTTCCTAGAAAGTGCCAGAGAGTTACTCCTCTTCTGATGTTTAGTCTATTATCATTTGCTAGAATGAAGTCAGTGTCCACTGGCAGGAGTGGTGGTCTCACTTTGAAGACTTGAGAGTTCTGGCTACTCTTATGTCAACCAGGAACTCAAACCTTCATTCTTGTATTCCTACAGGTACATACCAAGCCTGGAGAGAGTTGGGCTGACAAATTATGTGGTACAAACAGTCAACTGTGATCTCCAAGCCAGTGGCCAGATCTGATTTGGGGCCCATCAGTGTTCCAGACTATTTGCGACAGCATTCACCATTTGCTGCTGGTTGTCCTGGATGTACTAAGCTGTCAGATGGTACCAATAATCGTGCCTTCTTTGCTGCTTGGCAAAGTACGGGCATTGTAAGTTGGCTGGCATCTGCTGAGCTATTGGGTAGAATCAGTTGCTCTGCTACCTTTACTTATCAGCAAAATATTGGCATTTCATCTGGCAATGCCACACCAGACCACAAACAAAGCAAACACTTTGCTCTTCATGTCCTGGACGACATGTAGCTGTAGGCATAATCTTCATTGGCTGCCTGAGTAGGTTGGTCCACCTGAAATGTAGCCAATACAGCTGCTGCTGTGGGCTTTCCCTCTCTAATAATTGGTTCAAAGTTATTACTTCGTACCAGGTCGTGAAAGAAACTACCTCTGTCAAGGTGAGAGTGTGCCTCACACCCAGATGGCATTTCATGTCTTTGCAAGGAAGTCCCTCGATTGATATACCCACAAGGATGTTCTCTCAATCTGCCATTGCAGGATAGACTATACCATGCAGCTAGTGCAGATCATCCTCAAAAGTGGCCAGATCCTCGGTTTTGGTTTCTTCCTAGCTTTATACTCAGCCTAATCGATCACTAACCCTCCATATGGTCAAATCAGTGTGACAATTTCAATACAACTGTGTCTCAGTCATCTTGTTGCTCTTTGCCCGGGTGCTCAATGCATCCAAGTATGGATCATTAAAGCTCAAGATCTGGTGTTGGACTGGCTTCTCCTGAGTCCAGCCATTCCAGGCAGTTGTATGCCTAAAACTCTTCAAGAAATGGTCCAAGTCTTCTCATATTCCTCCTTTAAACTTTGGGGTCAAAATATGTTTTCTGTCACTTATAGTCCAGAACAGTCATGTAATTCTTGGACAATGCCTGGTTGACGCCAGTGATGCCACAGATGTGTTGTGATAGACGTTCTCAACCAATTATTTGGTATTCTCAAGTGAAAATTATTTCCAAACGAGTATCAGACAGGTCTGCCTTCTGATGGAGATTGGATAAGGAACATTATGTAGTAAATCCCAGTTTGACTAAACGACTGAATTAAAGTTAAGAAAATAAAGAAAATGGATGTATGATGTTAAGTGAATATCAATATTTATTAATATTATCAAAGCAAAAACACTGTATGTGTATTTACTTAGACACTGCACTTTTGCTTCCTACTAGTGAATTGGTTATAGCTTTCTTTCTACAAGATGTCTTTATTTTACCTATTCAGTATAATGATCAAGTATAATTGTGTGAATCCATTGCTCTGTACAAACAGATGTTGGATTTATCCATAACGACTCACGCTATTTACATGACTGGTTGTTCTGATACAACATATTGAAGACTATAATCTCTAGATATCATCTATTCCTTCAGAGAAGAACATTGCTTTCATTGACCCGTTTTGCACAATGTGCAAAGTTGCAGCAATATATCCATGGCTGAACCAAATATTATCTACCAGAGAACAACAAAGAAACAAAGGTAACTTAAACAAAAATAATTTGATGAATTACTGGACCACGCCTTTCTGTAAGAAGTGCATAGAATCAGGCTAAACAAAAAAGTTAATAAAAGAAGGTGGAAAACCCACAGTATTTCTGCATACTATAACTCTTCTTGTTTTTCTATATTTTCAATAGGTTTGTTTCTTTTCTTGTGTCTGAACATAAACTGAACAACTGACTATCTGTACTGTGTCCAATGCAGGGATTGAACACTGAATTTAAGAATGATAAGCCCTCAATCTTATCACTGAACTATTGGGGCATTTTTAATGCGAGTGGTCAGTCTACATGGGTTACAACGTACTCCAGAAAAGTTGACCTTGTTTGTAACAGTTCCTTCTCTCAGTATACCATAGAGATCTTTCTCAACTCTCGAAACACAAAGAGGCATAACTGTAAATTAGTTTTGCAGTTCTATTGTATAATATTTACAACTACTTTACTGTGAGAAAATAAAGCGCCAGTCACTTTACTAAAAAGTCTGTTCCTTGTATTGAAGTTAAGGGAGTCTATAGTGTCGGATAAATTGATTTAATTTTTGGTTTGTTTACTTTGAACGTTTAATCGTAGGCGTGATTTATATCATACACAGGGTGTTACAATTTTGTTCAGAAGTTTTTTTGCCCCTTACTATAATAATTGTTCCTGTGCCAATGACTGAATATGTCTTGTGTTTTCATCTGATGAGCAAGAAAGTGTTTTTATTTTTATTCATTGTCAAATTTTGTTGTCCAGTCTCTGGACCTCGAGGTAAAAATTTAAAGTCAAATTTTGTAAAAAAGTTCTATTCTGAATCTCTAATACAGCGGTTATTATAGGAAATAAAATACGACTACCTAAGAATACCAAAGTTAAAACACATTTTCCAAATTTTATACTGTTACGACAGAGGAAGTCACGTGACGCTAGTACACACGTCATGAGCTTCTAGAAAATTCATGTCCCTTCGTGAAGTCTCGAGTGTTTACTAGATATGCGGTATTCTTGTATATAAGACCGCCAAGAAGTGACGGCAACAATGCAGTTGAATTGCAGACAAAGATAGAGACGG